TGCTTGGTTTTCTTGCCTACTATGTTTTACCATTAAACCATTCCCTCCATAAACTTATCTAACTTAATCTTAAAACCAGACAGGTCCCTCGCCCCCACCGTTTCCCTCGGAAGGCCGTTCCAATGAGATGCGCCTTGTACTTTGCTCTATGGACTCATTCTTACAGCTCTGTTGGTATCAATACAACTGACTTTACTTTGATTTCTTAGAGTTCAATTCCCTGTGATTTTTACCATGTGTTTTCTTCTGTTTTTTAGAGAGCAGCTTGCACAACCAGAAAAGCCTGCTAGCCCCAAGTTCATTGTGACACTGGATGGTGTCCCCAGCCCACCAGGGTACATATCTGATCAAGAAGAGGAGGAAAGCTGTATAACTGAAGGAGTGAAGCCAGTTACCCAAAATGCAGCTGCAAACAAGGGATTAAAAAGCTTTCAAGCACAGCAGATGCAGGTTATAAGCAGGCAGCTGGAGAGCCCTTATGGTAAATTATCCTAGCCAACAGGGCCTTCATATTGGAGTTAGATTACTTTTTAATGTGGGGCTTTCATACTGGGGAGAACTCTCAAGCCTACCAGCCTTAAACATCACTCCTTGCATTGTTTTTATATTATTTGTTCAGGGTGTAACGAGAGCACAAAAGTGAAAGTTCAGCATTTTAAGGGGATAGGGCCGTTTAACCTGCTGACCAAGAGCAGTAGCTGAAATTGTTCTCCACACAGCTTTATATGTCAGTAAAATTAGATAAGTCGTTTCTTTTAAACTTCAGTGAACTTTTACTTGTCAGAAAGAGCCATCATTCCCCTTACTTGCTGCATGATTGGCCCCAGGCAGGACAGTATGTTCTGAGATGCACCTTATTAAATTGTATTGAGCCATTGAAAATGTGCCAGGTTGTGGTAGTAACCATGATCTTTCGGGCCAGATTTGTTCATTTCAAAAGCTGTTTTTAATTATAAAGACTGTCTTTCAAATTGGTAGAATCTTTCAAAATAGAAGACACTTTACCTATGATCACTGTATGTTTTTCTTAATATCTCATACATTCAGAATACCCTGCCCAGGAATTTAGAACATCGGCCTCTTTTAAGCTGTTTGGAACTCTGTTTTTGAAATGTTGATTTTGGAATGCAAAGTAAAACTCACTTTAAAATGTGGAGTTTCCTTTCTCTTGGGCTCCTTAAACACTCGCTGGTTTGAGGTCATGTTTACATTCAGGATTTCCATTTGTAGTACGAGAATGTCAGTCCCTCAGATAATAACAGTGCATCAACATTTCCTGAATGTGTATATAAGAAACTCAGGGCTAGGTACTATGCTGAGTACCCTCAACTCCATTCACTGGATCAGGGCCGAAATCAGTGAAATGCCTAGAGGTCTTTTTAAAGGATAGTTTCAGAAAGTTTGCTTAATAGGGAGATTTAGGGACTGATCCTGCAAATACTTGCTTGCATGCTTAGCTTCATGTGCTGCTTAGTTTGCTTCAGTGGGACTGCTCACAGCACATAAAGCTAAGCAAGGGAGTAAGTTGTAGAATTGGAGCCAGGATTTGAAGCAGCTTGGAGAAGATAGAGTTTCAGATGGGGCAGTACCACTCAGTTTTGAAGGAAGGTGAATCGGGTCCATAAATGAGGCCAGTAATGGAATGAGGGTGCAGAAAGATTGCTACTAGTGAGGATGGAGAGGGATATTGGTGTGAATTTTGAATTGCATGTGGATAGTTAAGAACCCAGTGAAGGTGCCAGAGAATGAGGGATAGGGCAATCCTATTCTGAATCCTCAGAACAGGACAGGGTAGAGATTTAAGAACAACTGAAGAAGGGAATTGCAGGAGGGAAACCAAGAAGTGATTAAAGTGCAGTGATTGTATGAAAGTTGCACCTTCTTACTCAACAGTTCAGCTTGCCCTGTTAATAAGGAGTCCTGTCTGCTGAGTGCAGTGTCAGAAGTAACTTCTTAATGCTGCTTTTTCATGATTGTCTCCCAAAGCCAAAACTATCCATGAGAAAGGGAGGTTTTATTCTGACACATGCATCAACAGAACAGTTAGTGAAGTTTCAGTTGCAGAATCTTTTTCTTAGTCCAGTCAGAGTAAGGAAGGATCCAGTTTTTGTTTGCATATCTGGCAGAAAACCATTTTTTTTACTAGTAAACTGAGCTCATTTGATGATCTGTAAGTCCTTGAAAGATGATAAATATCCAACCCTAGGATGTTTTTAGTAATTTTAAGAAGAAAGTAAGGATTTAGCAGGGACAGTCTTGTGTAGGTTTCAATGGGCTGGGGTATACACTGCGGAACTATTGAGTGCACAATTATTTTTGATCACTTTGTAATTGAGAAATTAACCCACTAAATAAAATATTGCAGCTTTCACCAGCTAGCAATCTCCACTCTAGTTAGAGGTTGACTAAACTCTGTGTATGTTCAGGTGATCTGAAGTCTTGAGAGATTTCAATTTTTGTATAAAAGCTTGTCGTATGTTGGTGAGAAAGCAGTCTATGCATGGAACATGCTGAATTTAAAGGGTGGTCTGCTTCATAAACCAAACTGCACATGTAATAAAAGACGGTCCCTGTGTCATTTCTCCCCCACAGTGGAGATGGAGGAATTGACTGGGCTGCAGAAACAAGAGAAAGTGCTTGAGCGTTGCAAGTACTGGCCTGCCTGTAAAAATGGAGATGAATGTGCATACCACCACCCCACATTACCATGCAAGTAAGTGCTACAGAACTCGATGACATCTGATCTTCTTTGTCCTTCTGGGCTCTAAATGCTGTGTTAGTTATTTCACATCTGTTACTCAATTAACATGTTTCATGGTGGGAGATGGGAGTTGAACTTTGCTTTGTAAATGTAACTTCCTCTCCCCTTCTGCTTTCCTCTCTTTCACCATGTGGCAGAATTTAGTGGTATTTACAATCAGCAGAGTCACATCTGATCTCCTGCAGGAGAGAGCCTTTTACACTGTGCAGGATGCTGTTTGTCTGAGCTCTTTATAAGAGAGCTGGGAGTGTACTGTACTGTCAGAGGCTACGTCTGCACTAGAGCGCTTACAGCAGCACAGCTACAGCGCTGCTAAGTGCAGACGTTCTCCCGTCGACTTAATTACTGCAGCCCAGATGAGTAGCGGTAGCTATGTTGACGGGAGAAGCCCTTCTTGAGACATAGCGTGGTCTGTACCGGGGCTTAGATGGGTATAATTGCGTCACTCCCTGAGTGACATAGTTATACCGACATAAGGCTGTAGTGTAGTAGAGCAAGCCCAAGATGCCTCAGCTAGGTGTCCCCAGAGGTTTGAGCACAATTGCTCCCATGTATATGGTGGTACAATGCTTTTTGGCTTAAAAGCAAAGATTTAGAGGAGTCGTCCTGAAGATTTTACTGTGCTATTGACTCTTTTTCAACTGGCAGCGACTGTCCAGAATAGCTCTCTTGCTGTTGTTCTCCTGGATTGCTGCATGTCAGGCAGGCACTCAGCTTTACTAGCTCCTGTCAGAAGAAGGGAAACTGAACCACATCACAGTGGAACAGGCATGGTCCACCTAAGAGAATGTACACTGTTGTGGGATTCATTCCACAAGGTGGAATCTTTCTGATACAGGGTTAGCTGACAGATCATCAAGCCCTTGCTTTCCCCACCCTCTATCCCACAGTGAGGGAGTGGAGAATAAAATTCACATCTTGATGCTGATTGATTCAATGCATCTCTGACCAGATGATCACAATGGTCCCTTCTGGTCTCGGAATCTATGAATCTGTGACTGGGAAAGCAGATTCTCAGTCTGAAATTAATCAAAGGAGACCATAGTACTGTAAAAGAGAATATTCCTTGTATTTGTACTTAGTACAGTAGATACAGTGATTCAAGGTTGTATAGTAAGTGCACTTGCTTTATGAATGGTGGTATTCTCTGTGGTTTGCATTACTTTGTCTCACAAATGAATGAGATAATATTTTGGAAGGCGTTTATGGCAGCTTCTCATTTCTCCAAAAGGCAATGATACATTGTAACGTATGCCACCCTATACCTCTGAATTTCTGGTAGACAAACACAAGTGGTTCCACTCCACAATAATTCTGAAAAGAAAATTCACGTGAGATCAGAATACTAGTTCTTTTATCGCCCTCAAACTGAGATTGAAAAGGCGACATTGTTGGGTCCAAGTATTCAGTACCCAGTGAAAATGATTCTCCTGGGGCGTGTACAGCTTGTGGTGTTCCTGCAGTGGGAACTCAGAAGCTGAATCTTAGACATGTTTTGTCTGGTTTGCTTAGCCTTTCAGCTGTGGTTTTAAATCTAACTGCCTTCACTCTGCTGTTTGGGGATATACTGGTGCTCTTTTTAGATAGCAGGTATTATCAGACTTGGGGTCCATCAGCCTTGATGTTGTCTTGTTGAAAGAGTTCATTTTGAATTACGGCCTTACATCATCTAATCCTTATTTGGAAATCTCACCTTCTGCAAAATGAATTCACTCTCTTTCTGGGTGCTATGGCTCAGACCGTATCTGATCTGCGGGAACTGTAGTTTGCTCTGGAGCAGGTGTGCACTAGCTGCTGCATGGAATATGGTTCAAATAACTGGTTTGGGTTTTTTTCCCCCAGAGTCTTTCCCAGTTGCAAATTTGCTGATAAATGCCTGTTTATCCACCCCAACTGTAAATACGATGCAAAGTGTACTAAGCCAGACTGCCCTTACACTCACGCCAGCCGACGAATCCCATTGCCGCCTCCCAAACCAGGTGAGCACTCTTTGCTATTGCTAGTTTACTGTGAATTTGTGAGGAAGGGAACAGTGCATGTGAGGAATCGAAGCTAACCCACAGAATCTGATTTGATGATATCTAAGAGGAAAAAGTTATCTGTATGAAACTCGACATTCCCTTCGCTTTTGTTATCCCCTGGGCATTAAGACTTGAGTTAATATAACTGCAAAATCTGTTATGAATGTCAAATCCTTGAGCTCCTCTGTGTAAGTGCTGCATACCAGCAACTCTCATTCACTGCAAAGGGAGTAGCATGGGGCAGAGGTGGTGGCACACAGAAATAGCCTATCACTTCTGAATGGATCAGGTAATTAGCCAGTTCTGTAAGAACAAATGTACCTAAACTGTCCACAGATTTAATCTGTATTATAACAAGAATGATCTTTTGATGTGAAAACACAAATTAAAGGCTTACGTTTCTGGAAGTCTGCTTTCTGTCTTGTAATTTTACATGATTGTGATCATTTTTATCTTTCACTCATTAAAACAGATAGACTATCCTTTAGTAAAGAAATGTTAACCTAATTTCTATCAAGTCAACTAAATGCAGATATTTGAGTTGGAATTTGCCCAAAACATAGGGGTTAAATTCTTACCCCCATAAAAAACAATGTGGTAAGAGAGCCTTTAAACCAGGGGTAGGCAACCTATGGCATGCGTGCCAAAGGCAGCACGCGAGCTGTTTTCAGTGGCACTCACACTGCTTGGGTCCTGGCCACTGGTCCGGGGGGGCTCTGCATTTTAATTTAATTTTAAATGAAGCTTCTTAAACATTCTAAAAACCTTATTTACTTTACATACAACAATAGTTTAGTTATATATTATAGACTTATAGAAAGAGACCTTCTAAAAACATTAAAATGTATTACTGGGCACACGAAACCTGAAATTAGAGTGACTAAATGAAGACTCGGCACACCACTTCTGAAAGGTTGCCGAACCCTGCTTTAAACCACATCCGAAAGACCACATCTCCAGTGGCTTAGTGCTTCCTTTCATTACTGTGTCAGGATAGAGTCCTACATACTGATCACCTATGCCAGGGGTGGCCAAACTGAGCCTGAGAAGGAGCCAGAATTTACCAATGAACATTGCCAAAGAGCTACAGTAATATGTCAGCAGCCCCCCATCCGCTACCCCCTTCCAGCCCCCACCGACCGGCAGCCCCGCCAATCAGTGCCTTCCCCTCCCTCCTCACACCTCCCGCCCACCACAATCAGCTGTTTTGCAGTGCGCAGGAGGCTCTGGTGGGAGGGAGGAGGGCATGGCAGGCTCAAGGAAAGGGACAGGGGCCTTGAGGGAAGGGGTGGAGCGGTGGCAGGACCTGGGGCAGAGCAGGGGGTTGAGCAGTGAGCCCCCCACAGCATGTTGGAAAATTAGCATCTATAGCATCAGCCTCAGAGTCAGCGCCTGTGCAAGGAGCCACATATTAACCTCTGAAGAGCTGCCTGCAGCTCAGGAGCCACAGGTTGGCCACTCCTGACCTGTACCACTTCAGGCACTGCTGTACGTGCCTGGGAAGAGCCCCACCGAGCTGTTATGTCCCAGTCCTGTTTAATTTGAAAACTAACAGGCTTGCTGCAGCCTCAATGCGAGATTGGAACCTCTTTGTCTGCCTAAATTCCCCTGAAGTTTGTTGGAAGCAATAGAAGTGCTTCTGTGTGTGGTTAAATAGTGGCCATGTTCCAGCCCAGAATCAGCCGCTTTTCAGTGCTGGGTGACATAATCCTGATATATCTTACATATTTCACAGGGCTATTCCAAGGTTTAATTGTTTGCAGAGTGCTTTGAGATCCTCAGATTAAATGAACTCTGGAAATACAGAATAGTAATTGCTGAGAAAATGGAATTGTTTTGATCCATACAATATTCTTGTTCTTTTTCTAACAGCACCACTACAAGCCCCACCAGCAACCTCCAACAGTCAGCTCTGCAGATTTTTCCCCGCTTGTAAGAAAATGGAATGTCCATTTTATCATCCAAAAGTAAGAAGTGTCTGTTAACACTTCTGTAGAAGGAAATCTGAAAAATGTTACATTGCGTTACTGTGTTTTATGACGCAATCCTTAGAAATGCTTCTATAATTTGTATCTGAAACGTAATCAATTTATAGCTTGAAACGAGAGACAGAAAAGCACTGATTTATAGTTGTACATTTCTGAATGATCTTTCCTAAACTCTTTTTGGTAGTCTAGTAAAACTGTAGAAAATGCTAAATATCAGACTTGTTCAGTTACGTCAGACTGGCCCCAATGAGTCAGTTGGCACTGTGGTATGCTTTCAGTGTCAGCTCATAGCTAACCACTTATCCAAACTCTTCTGCCTATGAAGAATGATTGGAACATAGGAGAAGAAAATTCACTTCTGCAACATATCGTGGGGAGAGCACACAATAAATGCTGACGTGGGATTTCATTTTTCCTGCAGCTGGGGTCATATAGTTAGCTTAGAGTATGCACAGCTAGATGATTATCCCATTGAGGATATAGCATCCAGAAGTGGCCACACTTAAAGTTTATATTGAGGGTATCTCCAGAGAAAGATGTGATCGGCTTGGTAAAGATAGCCACCAAAGGAAGAGAAGAAAGGAAAGGCTGCCTTTAATTGTGGATTGTGTTTCTTTACATTAGAAATTTGTCTTGCTGCTCTTCATGTTCGCTGTAAGAGGAAGCTGTAGCCTTTGTGATATGAATTTTGACTGACGGTGGACAGGGAATCTTCTCTTTTGTTTTGAGAATCACCTTTGATACATGTGGCGATTTCATGAGCAGTCTGTCTTTCAGGATTTATCTACACAGCAATGTAAACCCAGGCTTGAACCTGGGCTCAAGCCTAACCCCCCTCGCATTCACAAACCAATTGTGTTAACCTAGGGCTCGAATTTAGGAGCCCAGGACCCTGAAGGGCTGGAGGGTCTGAGCCCATGTTAAGTTGGGACCTAGGGTCCAAGCCCTATTGCTTTCCTGTGTGCATGTGACCCTTGCTTGACTCAGGTCCTGGGCATCTTCTGGATGTATCCCAGTGTCCCTTGGGGCAACTTCCTTAGTCCTCTCTATGCCCACAGACAATCTGTGTTGCAGTCTATTGCAAACAGAAGCAGGCCAGATCAGCGTTAACCCATTGTCTGCCGAACACTGGTCTCCAAGCACACTATCAGGGAGCCTGCAGGATTTTCAATGGAGACCAATCAGAAGAAGCTTTTTGCAGAGAGCTCCTTCCGGGTCACAAGAGCACAGCCAGATTTTGCTGCCCCTGTGGGGAGCGGGGGCGGGAGTGGGCCAAAGAGCAGAGTGGGGACTAAGTGGCTGCCTTGCAGGGAGGGGGAGCAGCAGAGGGGAGGATGACCCCCAACACCCCATCTGCTCCCCCTCCCTGCAGGGCAGCTACTTGGTCTCTGCTTTCTGGCCCCCTCTGTGGGTGCATGTGCAGGGTGCCTGGGCAGCGTGCACTGTCCGGGCAGCGAGTGGGAGCAAGCCCCTAAACCTTCCCACACCCTCCTGCAGCTCCAGCTCCTCCTTGCTGTTGCATAGACTTGCCTGGAGCAGGGAGAAAAGCTGACAGGTGGGAGGCAGCTCCCATCTGCCAGGCTGTTGGGGTCATCCATCCCCTGGCTGTGCTGAGCCGGGAGCTCTACTGTTCCCCATCCCTGCAGGGCAGCCGCTTCGTCTCACTCAGCTCTCTGTCGCTTGCTCTCAGGCCCCCCCGCCCTTCCTAGGGCTGTGTCTGCAGAGGCACCTGGGCTGTATGCACTGTCAGGGCGGTGAGTGGGAGCCAGCCCCAAAACTTCCACACAGCCCCGTGGGGTTCGTATCCCCGCCTCTCAGGATATGAACGGGGCAGGGATAAGAGATCCCTGGGAGGTGCTGGAGCACAATGCACCCCAAGCCCTGGGGATGCACTTCACTGCTCTGCAGCGGGCAGTAGCAAGGCTTGACGTGTGTTTGTTTTTCCTCTGAAACCACCATTTTATGTCAAACTTCCAACCAAACAAAACACCTTCATTGAACATCCCTTTTTAAAAATGAGAAATTGCCAAGTTTCATTTTAATAGTTTGACAGCCCTGGAAACTGATCCCCTAATTATCCTCAGAGCAGGTGCACAAAGGCATTATCCTGCCACTGTGGCTCAACCTGGAACTGGAGCCCAAATCACTGGTTCGATGATGGTTCAGTATAAAGCTTTCTCAAACTGCACTCATTCTACTGAGGCAGCCACCAAAGGCGCTAATGATGCAACTCATGCTCCTTATGGGCACCTGAGTCTCATCAACAGCACTGTCACTGTTAGGAAACAGGGTGGGCAGTAGTTTCCTCACAGAGCAACACATTCATAGGGCTAGACTGTTGAGACCGATATAGTGGGTACTAAGAATCTGGGACAGGGTTACTTTGATTCAGGTCTGTGCAGTGCAGTGTGGACGCCAGAGCCCTAGGGTAAAACGAGTCAGAAAATCCTTAACCTAGTGTTAAAATGCAGTATAGATGCACAAGCCCAGGGTTCCCTGACACAGGTCAGCTGACTCAAGTCCCACTAACCCTAGGCTTACATTGCTGTGTAGATATACCCTTAGAGGCCTTAGAATACTTTCTAGGATCTGATTAAGAAATACATTACAATACATTTCCTAAACTCTTACTTTCTGTCTAGACAAAATGTAATCACTATGTCAACAATGAGATAGTGCCTGAGATCTTTTTCAGAAATCAATTAGAGACATGATGAAAGAAGGGAAATACCCTAATTTAAATTGAATAATGTATTCACTTTTGGTCTGTAATTGCTGCTTTATCATTGTAAAAGAAGAGAGCGAGATTTAGAAGGCAGTGATGTGATTGAATCTCTTCTAGCATAACCAATGGTCCCAAGAAATACTGTTTTCCAGAACAGTAATGTAATTTTACAAGTCACTAGAGAGATGAGAAGTGTAAGGTAAAATCTTCTAACAACGTATTTTTTCGTCATTGCAGATAAATTCTTGCTGCTCTTCCATATATGGTAGCAGAGGTCTAGTAGCTAACTGTAATTCCACTGATGAATTGCCTTAGTGACTTTGTAACAGGGACTTGTGAGTCTTGGAATACTCAAAACTAACCCCTTAGCTAAACTCTTCCTGTGAGGAGGAATGACATTTTTATAATTTCATGGTCAGTTATTAAATATCCTGTTGATAGAACATTTCCTTATAGAAAACAGAACCCCTGCCATTAGTGGGTTCAATTGACACTGCTATTAATTTTCAAAATTATTGACCATCAGGTATTTTGGACTATACAATAATTCATAAATTCATAGATTCTAGGACTGGAACGGACCTCGAGAGGTCATCGAGTCCAGTCCCTTGCCTAATGTCCAACCTAGACCTCCCTTGCTGCAGTTTAAGCCCATTGCTTCTTGTTCTACCCTTAGAGGCTAAGGTGAACAAGTTTTCTCCCTCTTCCTTATGACACCCTTTTAGATACCTGAAAACTGCTATCATGTCCCCTCTCAGTCTTCTCTTTTCCAAACTAAACAAACCCAGTTCTTTCAGCCTTCCTTCATAGGTCTTGTTCTCAAGACCTTTAATCATTCTTGTTGCTCTTCTCTGGACCCTTTCCAATTTCTCCACATCTTTCTTGAAATGCGGTGCCCAGAACTGGACACAATACTCCAGCTGAGGCCTAACCAGCACAGAGTAGAGCGGAAGAATGACTTCTCGTGTCTTGCTCACAACACACCTGTTAATATATCCCAGAATCATGGCAGTTAACACCTCTGCAGTCACAGGAGAAAGGAGGGATACCAG